ATGTTCAATAATTGTTAAAATGACTAAAAAATTTAATATTAAACTTTTAAAATTATTGAATTGTATAAACTTCTTGATATTTACTAAAATGGTAAGGAATATAAGCCCGAGAACCGATTACTGTATTAGCGGACTAATACTAGAGCTGGTGGACCGCCAAATGCAAGCGAAAACATGTTGAGGTCGGCTCGTAAGAAACTTGTTAAACGAGGGATTGCTCGTTAACCGAAGTTAAGAATCTTATGGAATGTAACTCGTTGACCGAAATCTCGTTAACCGAGGGACCACTGTAAATGAAGAAATTTATATTAATCTACCCAAAAATACAATTGAAAACTTTACATTATAAAATGTACTAAAAATTTTATCTCTTGTCCAAAATATATGACGTTTATATTCAAATTATTCACTGTCTTGCAAGGATTCCAGCAATGCAAATTATATTCTAACTTTTGTCTGTGATATTATATAAGATAAAAACTTAGAGCCTACTGAAAACCACCAAACCTTTGCTGGGAGGGTGGGGGGTAGGGAGGGAGGGAGGGGTGACAGTGACATGTTTGACAGTTAGCGCCGAAGGTCTAGTGAAGTATTTATTTGTTTATTTATTTCCTATAGATTGAGTTTTGTTTTTTGTTTATAAAATTTCATAGAAGTGACCGGGGAGAATATAATTTACATTGCTGGAATTCTTATATGATAGTGATTAATTTGAATGTAAACATGCCATAGTTTGCACTAGACTAAAATTTTAGTAATCATTTTGTACATTATTTTTATTACATGTACAATACAGCTTTGCCCTTAGGACAGTGTATGCATGTAAATGAGTTTCAATAAATGAATAAAGTTACATATATCAAGCCAAAAATATTAGTTGAAAAACTTAATGTAGACAGAGCTTGGATGGCTAAATTTTAGAATGACCAATAATTTTAATATAAAAAATGCACAAATATTAAAGATCACAATTTTCTTTATATTTACTCCACTGGAAACGAATGTAAACATAGAACAGATTACTGAATTGGCAGACTAGCCCATCAGCTGATGCTCACAACAAAACGTGATGTTCGTAAGGATTTCGTCAGTGGCGTAGCTAGAGTGTGCCGCCCGGGGCGGCCGTTGAGTTTGCCGCCCGGGGCGGCCCTTGAGTTTGCCCCCCCCCTCCCCCCGTGCCCCCACAAAAAATACATATTGCACAGTGACTCACTCATATATATATATATATATATATATATATATATATATATATATATATATATATATATATATATATATATATATATATATATATATATATATATATATATATATATATATATATATATATATTAAATAGTTTGTGTACCATTATAATATTACTGTACTTTCACATACTCAAATATAGTATGCTTTAAATACACACCAAACATACTTAAACTTTATAAGTTTCCTTAATCCTCAACAGGTTACAGGTTGTGTGTGTGGCGGGGGGGGGGGGCGCATAGCAAGGGTGTAGCTCATGACGTGGTCGTGATGATGTGGGTCAGGTGTTAGGTCAGACACGACAAGGATTAACTTGCCGCCGATACAAAGGGATGGATTAACGTCTCCAGTAGCTGCAGATATGGGTGATGAGCAGACCCAAAAGTGCCGCCCCCGAAGATGCTGTCAAGTGAACTGCCCCCTCAGTTACGCTTAGTGGATTTCGTTAATCGAATTTTTGTTCGTTAACCGAATTGAAGATTCTTATGGAAGGTAATTCGTTAACCGAAATTTCGTTAACCAAACCATTCGTTAACCGAGGGACCACTGTATGTTCATATCAGTTTAACACATCTAGTTTCTCGGCTAAGCTTATACACTTTCTTTTAGCTTTTAACCAGCACTACCATCACTTGCTCTCTTGCTCATGTTGAATGGGGATGCAAAAATGCTGTAAGAAACCAGAGAAAGTTTTTATCCTTTTCCTGTTCAGATGCATGAAAATAAAGGGCCCACCAGCTGCAACTCTTTATACTAGTGATGCTGGCGTCACCACTCACAAGTCCAGTAGCCTCCTTGCACAAGAAGTGTTGTTTTTTTTTTTTTTTTTTTTTTTTATAATACATACGTATCGGGATTTAGTTATTATTTACATGAAGATGTAATTTTTTTTTTTATTATTCTATTTTCGTCGCAAATACGAAGAAAATAATGGCGTAAATTGAATTGGGTCCTAAATTAACCAGGGTCTTCAATATGAATCGTCGTTAGTAGAACCGTCGTTATTGGAGGCTTTCCTGTGTAGTATTGGTAATTGGGGATTATGAGTTGAGTATACTGTATTGTACAGGGGTCTGCTTGGTGGGATGAATTAGCTAGGGTAAACTCTACTGAAGATTGTACACCATTAATATTGTTAAATCTGTGAAGGTTTTCCTGACTGTGATAATGTGAGAAGTGTCTGTGTGATAAAGATTTAATGTTATAGAAGAATGTTTGAGATGGCTTGCATAGAATAAGTTAATATACAGATTGTAATTTTTTTACAAACAGATGTAAGTTGGTTTTATAATACAGTATAGAAATAATATATCAGTACTGTACTTAGATTCTTTGTTTTATCTGTTATTTTTCAGCGACTGAGGAAGAAGGTGATCAGTGGTCAAGTGTCCCACGCACACAAGGAGATTGTAACGCCACTTGTGTCTCGAGTGCGATACAGGGATTAAAATCAGATTGTTTCCTCAGTAATTTCTAGAATTGACAAAAGAGCCATGTGAACATTTTTGGAGCAGTGAGTACAGTAATCCCGTGTTTTTTGCGGGAATTATGTTCCTGAAACCCCTGTGAAAAGCCCAAACCGCGAATTCTCTTTTAGGTATCACTGTACCTATGGCCACTAAACAGCTCAGGTAGGTCATGCACTTAACCACGCCATGCTCTTCACTCACGGCCCAGTGGTCACACTGATCACTGACGCACTGTACCGGCATTTACTAATATCATTATTTGAAACTAATCATATTGTAGTATAATAACGGAAAAACGTAAACACAGTTATTTACAAAAAAAAATTATTTACAAGTAAATAAATTTTTTTTTATTTCGCTGAGGTCGGCAACACCCGCATTGCCAGCCTCTCCATGCTGTCCCGGCGTCTGCCCGCCCTCATGCAGTCACACCAGCCAGCCAGTCCTCTTCCACCCACATTCCTCCACTTGAAGACTTGTATTCTGACAAATGACAAATGATTTGTCAGTCTTCACCACATCTCAAGCCATAGCTCATACCACCTCTCAGCTTATCCAATAAAACTGTTTTTTCCGTTAAGGTCATCACTATTCTTGATCTCTTGGTCACTTTAGTCTTTGCTAGTAATATTTGCCTTTGATGAGGCTGGCTTACATCCCGGAGCCATGTGGAATGCACATGGGAGGACAAACAGAAGAGGTAATCACAGTAGCGTTCACAGTACGGTAGGCACGTGTGGACTGAGGCTTCTCGGAGCAGTGGGTGTCTTAGGCGGGAAAGGGTGGTGTCTGTTTGCCGCACTGCAGAGGGGAATATCGAAAATGGCGCGAAATTTAAATTTTTGTTTTTAAAGGATATATATATATATATATATATATATATATATATATATATATATATATATATATATATATATATATATATATATATATATATATATATATATATATATATATATATATATATATATATATATATATATATATATATATATATATATATATATATATATATATATATATATATATATATATATATATATATATATATATATATATATATATATATATATATATATATATATATATATATATATATATATATATATATATATATATATATATATATATACAAATTTTTAATAAAAAAAACGTGAATGGTCAAAACCGCGATAAACACGGGATTACTGTACAGTATATTGAAGCCACTAGCAAGAGTACAAGGTTTTTTCCTTTCTTGACTCAGTATACTTGCTGAGTGTATACAGTACAGTACTGTACTAAGTTTTATATACCAGAGCCAGAACCCACATCATGTTAGTCTCTACAGATACGCCAACAAGCCAAGTTGTTTATAAAAAGAAAAACCAATCCAAGATGTCAAGTGTCATTTATCATAACACACAACCTACTGTATTTCAACAAATGAAGCTTTTAACAAGTAATTAATGAGAAGAAACAAACATACAGTATAAAACAATTATATGTAGAGACCAAAGGGTTTTATGAGTAATACTGAAAGGTCTCAATTTATTAAGGAGATTATATTCTTGAAAACCACGTGAATATCAGATTTGAACAAATCAAAGTTAACTTCTTTCTTGGGAAATTTGGTTGTACAGTATATCAAAATCATGTTACCATCCTCCAAACATCTTAATTTTAGCAAAGAGATGAACACTTCTAAAGGTTTTATAATTATGATATTATATGTACAGTGAGAGAATGAAGTATCTTCCCAGCTTTGGCTAAAGTATAATGAAACCTGACTAACAACTCAACACAGTGCATGGTGTCATCAGCAACCCAAAGGCCTGCTGACCATTTATGGGCTCCACACGTGTATGTCAAATGGCTCAACCTTTCTGCGATGTATTCGTCAAAACCCCAGGAAGATATTTCATTCTCTCACTGTACTGTACATTATGCAACTCCACACTACTGTAGTGAACATACTGAACATAGTTAATTCTTATGCTAAACCTTTCTCTATCAGTCTCTGAAGCACTTTTGAGTTTTTTGTTTTTTCCAACAGGGACTGAATGTTTTCATTATCTGTGGTTATACAGCAGCCATTTGTTACTCTGGTGAGATTTGTTTCATCTGTGATCTGTGTATCAGAGAAGGAGAATATCTGTCCCCTAAAGAACTGGTAAATGCTGTACTAGTCAAAGTATTAAAAGTAGCATGTTTTTCTTGTTTTTCATAGAGAATTAAGGAATAACAATAAGCTATAGAGAAATACTTCCCATCTACTGTAGTATGTTCATTCAGTTTAATTGTAGTCAGAGGTTTTTGTAAAATTCCTTCTCACTGACCAGCTGACCATAACAACATGTGAGGGTGGATACATTAGGACTTCTGGTCTGACATACAACTCCAAAACTTCCTTATTCATTCAACTATTCTTATATTAAGTTAAAATTACTGTAGATAATGTATTTAACAGTTATTTTAATAGAGTTAATAAGTTTTAACAAAGGATTCTTTTGTTTTTAATGTTTGTTTTTACAACTAAATATACTAGTACAGTTCTAGTAGAGTACTGTACTGTATTTAAGTGTATTTTACAGGTTTTGGATATGTCCTTCCAGGCATATACAGTACACCAGATTAACGATTACTGTACTTAATAGTTCCACATCAAACTTCACGTAGAGCATTTATTTCAGATTTTTAGTACTGGATAAAAGAATGTTTGTGATGTGGAAATTGGGGTTTATTATACTTTGTCATTTGTAACATTCATACATAATTGTCTGTATGAGCGATACTAAACGTGAACAGTTTACAGATCATATCAATTCTGGATAAACATTGTGATGCAGCATCATACATTTAGGACTTTTCTTAGAGCTTTGGTGAGAAAAAATTTAAATTGTTTTCTTGATATGAAAAAGTGACAATTCATGTTATGGGTTAAATAACTTGCAGACTTTTAATATCTTCTTCATAGTACTGTACAGCATACTATACTGAGCAAATTCTTATGTTCAGAGAAAAGTAAAGCCACTGTGATGAAAGTAATTGTGTAAATCTATGCTGCTAGTCATCTGGTGGGTCATTTTTCTAAGTCTGAACAGCCACAAATTTCTGTCATACAAAGATCTAAATTAAATATGCAACTTGTGTCGGTGTCACTCTCCCAGTGATAGATCTATAACTACTATTTATGCAACTTATATGCTGATTTTTTTTCTGCATAAGAATGCTTTTATATATATGCGGTACACCTGCAGTGTTAAAGTAAAGGTTTTATTCTTTTAATTTTTCAGCACATCATTATACTATATAAAGCTATGGGGTTTGACAAACGTTAAGTGATAATCACTTATAACTTCATTTTTCATTATTTTTTAGCCCACATGCAGTAAGTGCAGAGGAGTTTACACAGGGGTGTCCAAATGGACCCTGTTAATCTGGACATAGTCAGGACGATTGTGTCAGGATGTAACAGCTATACAGTACAGTATTCCTCTGATTTAAACAGTAGTTAGTGTATTTTAATACTGTATACAGTACCCATGCACCTTCTGTTAAATCTTCATAATATATATTATACTGTAGAGTATAATTGTGCAACAATATGCATCCTACAGAATGAGTTCAGTCCAGATCAATATACTGTACAACTTCCCAATTAATTGACTTACGATTGCTCGCATTCGTATTATTCTGGATTAAGTGACATCCACGTAATAGGGGTCTGGATTAGCAAGGTTTGTCTGTACAGTATTCAGCATGGTTGGCATTTACAAATGTTAATCACTTATTTTTAAGTACCTGATTTAAATTCTCATTGTTCAGTAACACTTTATTCAATTTATGTTATACTCACTATAGTATCATCTTTGTGGACTGCAGGTTGGCTTCATTATCTTCGGACATCACATAATGCAGCCAACTTGAGGTTCATAATTTCTGGAGTTTAACTGCCATACACATCTCCATGTTGTAATGACAGTTACTATGAAAGTACGATGAAACCAAATAGAACAGACTTTCATGACTGGGTGTATTTTCTAGGAAGTGTTATGAAAAATTTCTGAAAATAGTTTGTATGATATTTTCATTAGCTTTTGTTATTCTTTAGTTTGATAGGAAACTTGACAATTTATATTATAGGAGTAGAAAATATTAACAATTCATTTTGCTTCAAGATAATTATTACGAATCAAACCATTCTTCTTCCAAACTTTACTATCCAGGACAATATGTAGCTTCCATTTTATAAAAGGTTTTGCCTAAATCCTGTTAAAGCATTTTTTAGTAAATTGTTTTAAATGTGAAACTAGTTTACCTATGTCCTGAAAAAAGTGTTTGTATCTAGAGGGGAGAGAACTTTGGTTTGTCTACATGTGCTGTAGGTATTCTGTTACTTTCCAGGGTGACCTTTGGAAGGAATTTGACAAGTGGCCCCTTACTAAAGGTGTGTGGCTGCTGCTGTAGAGCCAGAGTAGCAGTGCTTGTACACAACCAAGGTTTAACCTTCTTATTCTTTCAACCATATAATTACCCATTTTTAACCAGCCTTTCTCAGTTGGTACATTGTAAGGGAATGAATAATCCTTTTTACCCCTCAACCACCAGGACTATAAGTGTACAGTGATCCCTCGGTTAATGAGCGCCTCGGTTAACGAGATTTCAGTTAACGAATTACTTTCCATAAGATTCTTAACTTCGGTTAACGAGCATTCCCTCGATTAACGAATTCCTTACGAGCGGCATCCAACATGTTTTCGCTTGCACATTAGCTGTCGTATTAGTCCGCCAATACAGTAATCGGTTCTAGGGCTTAAATTCCTTACCATTTTAGTAAATATCAAGACGGTTGTACTATCCAATCATATTAAAGGTTTTATATTAAATTTTTTAGTCATTTTAACAATTATTGAACATAATTCAAGTACAGGAAACTAGTTTTATGCGCGCCAAACAGCCTGTCAACACACCAAACAGGCGTCAGTCTCTGTGTCTTTTCAGTGGAGGTAACATCTTGTTTCAGACTCTCTTCAACATAAATGCTTTTTTTCTGTGTTTTCAGTCAAATTATTGGTCATTTTGAAATTTATTTTACATACGATATTAATGATATATAGCGCAGTGCAATGTTAATTTAAAGAAAATATTCTTTATTTACAGCAATTAAACTTAAAATATTACGTGTTGAAATTGTTTTTGAATCCAGCATGGGTCCCAAGAAATCTAGAAAAGCGATTTCAATTCAGATGAAACAGGAAATAATTAAGAAACATAAAGAAGGCATTAGAACAAATGTGCTAAGCAAAGAATATGGCATGTCGACAATTCTTGCACAGAAAGACAAATTCAAGGAAGTGAAAGTGAGAGACAAATTTACCAGAGTGTTCAAAGGTAGATCCCTAATAGCAGAAACAGTGAGGTTATTTCTCATCTGGATTAGGGAAAACAGATGAAAGGTGATTCAGTTTCTACTGAATTTATTTGTGAAAGAGACAGGGAAATATACGAACATTTAAAGGTAGATCAACCTGGTTCTTCAGGCACAGACTTTGAAGATTTTAGGGCCAGCAAAGGCTGGTTCGAAAAATTTAAGAAAAGAAGTGACATATTTAGTGTAGTTAGGCATGGTGAGGCTGCCAGTGCTGATAAGGAAGGGGCAGCAAAGTTTTTAGTGGAATTTAAAGAACTGATGGATACAGAATATTATCTTCCACAGCAAGTGTTCAATGTGGACGAAACTGGGCTGTTCTGGAAGAAGATGCCCAAAAGAACATTCATCACCAGAGATGAAGCCTCTTTACCTGGGCATAAACCAATGAAAGACCGTCTCACTCTATTGCTTGGTGCCAATGCTTCAGGGGATTTCCGACTGAAGCCTATGCTTGTCTACCACTCTGAGAATCCCAGGGTGTTCAAGCAACAGAAAGTGGTAAGAGTTTATTGGAAGTCCAACCGTAAGGTCTGGGTAACAAGACAGCTCTTTAATGAATGGGCTGTTGAGGTGTTTTGCCCTTCTGTGAAGAGCTACCTGACCACCAATAAACTCCCTTTAAAGCAGGGGTTCTTAACCTGGGGTCCATGGATGGGCTTCAAGGGGTCCTTGAAGGTCAGATAAAAATTTAACATTTATATTCACTATATTTTTTCCGTTCAGCATGCAACTGGATGAAACTACTGACATCTCTCAGTGCAGCCAGCTCCTGGTTTTTGTCCGTCATATGCATGCTGATGCCATCAAAGAAGAATTCCTATTTTGTGAGCCCCTTTTGGAAACTACAAAGGCCATCGACATCTTAGAAATGGTGAATAGTTTCTTTGCCAAGCAAAACTTCGACTGGAAGAAAAATCTTTGTACTCTGTGCATAGACGGAGCACCTGCGATGCTTGGCAACACATCTGGTTTTGCTGCTTTGGTGAAGAAAGAAGCTCCTCAGGTCATCGTGACCCATTGTTTTCTACATCGGCATGCATTGGCGTCAAAGACTCTGCCAGCAAATCTGAAAGAAGTCTTGTCTACTGGCGTGAAAGTCGTCAACTTCATCAGAGCTAGAGCTGTGAACCAATACGTTTTCAAGAGGTTTTGTCAAGAAATGGGAGCAGAATATGAAGTTCTTCTCTACCACACAGAAGTTCGCTGGCTTTCCAGAGGACAAATCTTGAAGCGCTTGATTGAACTTCGAGCAGAAGTTTCACTTTTTTTTGAGAGAAAAAGAAAGCCCACTCTCAGAACAGTTTGACAGTGAGGAGTTCATTCATGGCTTGACCTACTTGGCGGATATTTTTGGCCATATGAATGAGGTGAATCTTGTGATTCAAGGCCCTGGAGTCACCATTATGGATGCTGCTGAAAGACTGCAAGCTTTTCTGGCCAAGCTGCCACTGTGGAAGAGGAGGTTGAAGGCAGACAACTATGCAAACTTTCCAATGTTAGAGGAAGTGCTTCTGCAGGATGGAATCGAGAGTGACAAGGCCCTGTCAATTTCTCTGCAGGCAGAATTCTGCAGACATCTGGATACTCTGCAGAACTCTTTCAAAGGTTACTTCTGCTCAGGTGACCTTAAAGTTGAAACATGGATTCATAATCCTTTCCTTGCCGACATAGACTGTATCAGTGATGAAGACCTTGCCAAAGATGACCTCATTGACCTGAAGACAAAGGAAATGTTACGAAATGAATTCAACTCGAAGATCCTTGGAGAATTCTGGTGTGCGTTGACACAAGCCCACCCTTGTCTGGTAAAGCGAGCTATGGGTGATCTGATTCCGTTTGCTACTACATACCTTTGCGAGTCAGGGTTTTCAGCACTTGTTTCTATCAAAACGAAAAGTCGAAATCATTGGATGTCAAAGATGACATGCATGTTACCTTGTCAAAGACCACTCCACAGTTTCATCTTCTTATTCAAGCCAAACAACACCAACCTGCTCATTGAAATGAACTTTTGAGCAGAATTAAAGTTTTGTTTTGTTTAATTTGCACAAGATGATTGTATTTCATTTTTGTATGGAGTGGCCATTAATTTTGCATAAAAAAGTGTGAAACATAATTCTTTGTTAAGATTGTTTACTTTATTCATACTTTGTGTATGTCATACACTGTATGAGGCATTAGATTTTCAATAAAATAAAGTATATTCATTGCACGCAAAGTTGTGTTTATGTGCATTTTTCTAGGGAGGGGGTCCATAGCTTTCACCAGATTCTCAAAGGGGTCCGTGACTCAAAAAAGGTTAAGAACCACTGCTTTAAAGGCTCTACTCCTCATGGATAATGCCCCTGGTCATGACCCTCAACTTGCCAGAACTTTGGAGTATCAATTTGACTTTGTCAAAGTGTTGTTTTTGCCTCCCAACACTACATCAATCATGCAGCCAATGGACCAGAATGTGATCAGCAACTTCAAGAAGTTGTACATGAAGAAAATGTTCAGGAGGTGTCATCAGGCAACTTCCACTGATCCTGAACTAACACTGGCACAGTTCTGAAAGTCACAGTTTAACATCCTGGAGGCTGTAAAATTGATTGTGTCCTCATGGCAAGAAGTCTCCACTAGAACCCTCAATTCTTCATGGAAAGCACTGTGGCCATCAGTAGTCCATGATTTTGAGGGATTTTAGGATGAAACAGAGTTGCACCAGGAGATTGTGTCCATTGGTCAGTCATTGGGCCTTGAAGTGGAGGAGGATGATGTCGAAGAGCTTGTGATGTCTCATGAACAGGAACTTACTCCTGAAGACTTGCAGCAACTGGATGAGATGTTAGAGGCTGACAGTGGTGAGGAAACGGAAAGTGATGACCATATGCCAACTTCAGAGTTGAAAGATGTTGTTGACCACTGGGAGAAGTTCAGGAAACTTGCTTCAAGCCACCCAGATGTGGAAAAGTCTGAACTAGCTTTGTGTCATGTTGAGGACACAGTGGTCTCCTTCTTCAAACATCAGTTAATGATGAGGAGGAGAGATGCCCCACAGACAAAATTGACAGTTTCTTCAGCAAAAGGCAGCGGGAATAAGGCGCTAGCCCTCAGCCTTCCACTTCAAGAAGGGGAGAGGATGTTCCTGGTGGAGAATCTGTCAGTCCAGAGGTTCCTGACATTTTCATGAAAGGTGACTCACCTTCCAAGAAGCAGTAAAATGGTTCTCCTCCACCTCCACTTCCTTCTCTTCTCCCTTCTGCTCCACCCCCACTTCCTTCTCTTCTCCCTTCTCCTCCTCCACCTCCCACTTCAAATTCACATCATCATCATCATCATCCAGGAGCCTTCTACATACACACCTCAAAGTAAGTGTACTTTACTCCCTTTTTTGTTGACTTTAGGCAATTTTCGGTGAGCTGGAACCAATTACACAAAAACCCATTGAAGCAATGGTTTCGGTTAACGAGCAACCTTCTGGAACGAATTGTGCTCGTTAACCGAGGGACCACTGTACTGTCATGGCCTTTAGATTCTGTTTATGTCCATTTTATTTATTATTTCTTAAAATTTATAAGTTTATTTCCATCCATACATAGACAAGTGGCCCATGGAAACTATACACAGTATATTCTTAATCCCCAAGGTCCACAGATGTGTCTTTTGAATCAAAATCCATGAGGCTTCCCCTTCATATGCATAATTTGTTATACTGTACTGTACTCCCCTTTGTAGTTTGGGGTCATCTGCAGTGTTTCTGGACCTTTTATTTTGGACCTGTCACTACCCAATTCTCCTACACCAGTAATTGATACAGGTGAACTATGATTACAGGCATCCCCCGCGTTACGGAAGGGTTGCGTCCCTGGAAAATTGACCGCATCGCGAAATTCCGTAATGTAAAACCTATTTTCCCATTGACCTCCATTATAAAACTGGAGATGCGTTCCTAAGGAATTTTTTTCGGCCCAAAAAAGTAATTCAAGCATTTTTATGAATGAAAATAAACATTTATAAACACATACAATACAGTACATTAAATAATTTATGATATACCTTCTTAAAACATCAAGTTTAATATCCAGTGTAATGCCTTTGCGGCTTCTTTTTGCACTACTGCGGTCACTTCCACTTGATGGCCTCTTTCCAGTCATCTTGAATAAGGGTAAGGCACCGTACTGTACTTATTGTATGTTTGTAAAAGTTAAATCAAACTGCTGGGGTGAGAAACATGCGCGCACACTGGATGTAAACAATGGAGTGACTCTTGGCGGTAGCAAACACCAAGAAATCCACACCAAACAAATTATAATTTAAAAAAAAAAATTTAAATTGTATGTACCGGGTAGTTACTTTTTTTTAATTGTTAAAATTTACCCCAATTTCCGTAAGGGCAGATTTACGGGCCGTATCGCGAAATTATTGGTCATAATTTACAAATTCCGTAAGAGCGAAATTCCGCAACCCGGAGTTCCATAACGCGGGGGATGCCTGTACAGTATTACCCCGCTTTACGCATTTCCATGTTTACGCGGTACCCTGCCAGACCCGGAATGCTCACTTTACGCGGTGCGTGTACTCTTTTACACGGAGAGCGGCTGGCGGTCATCTCGCACCGCGCCATTTTTCGATTCAAACCTCCCGCCATTTCTCGCCATCCCGCCATGTTGGGTACGCGGCGCGAGTAGGTTGCGCAGTGTATGTCTTTGTTGCGTTCTCGGTGATGTCATATGACGTATTGGACTGTGATTGGGCTAAGCATCCTTACCTCCCTTCCCCGCTAGCTGTGATTGGTTTAATGTAATATGACGTGCCCTGCCGCGGGAGCGTTGAAGCCCGTTGACCTACCCGCGTCAGTTACACCCCTCCCGGCTACATTGTGTATATCGGTATCTACCGGTATTGTTCCATAAGAATGGCTGCCACCGGACCACCACCACCACCACAAAGAAACCTTGCATTACCTGGACCCAACTGCCCTAAACCAAAGAAGATGCGACGTGCCCTAAGCTACAAAATTAAATACAAGATCATCCAAGAGTTGGAGAAAGGAACAAGACAGGTTGATCTCGCGCACCAGCATGGTGTTAACGAGTCTACGATCCGGACAATCAAGAAGGATGCAGCCAAGATAAAGGAGCACATGAACATCACAAAGTTTACAGGTGCTTCTATGATCAAGTATTGCCACAACCAGGTGCTTCCCAAGACGGAGAAATTACTTGTGAGCTACTTGAGTCGTCAGGCAAGACGGAACATGGCGGTGGACACGCGCTCAGTTAAGGAGTACGCACGTGAACTGTATGCTGCAGTGTCACGTAAGATGGGAATTGCAGAGCCCAAACCCTTCAATGCTTCCTCTGGGTGGTTGCAGAGGTTTAAGAAGAGGAACAAGATCACCAACATTAACATTGGTGGTGAAGAAGCTAGTGCTGACCGTGTAGCGGCTAGGGATTTTCCTCCGTTTTTACGTGAGATTATGGAGGAAGGACAGTACACCGACGACCAGGTGTTCAACATGGACGAATCTGGTCTTTTTTGGAAAAAGCTACCTTCCAAGACCTTCGTTGTCAAGTCTGCCAGCAAGTGTCGGGGCCGGAAGTTGCAGAAGGAGCGCATCACCATCCTGTTTACCACCAATGCCTCTGGTACCTGTAAGCTCAAGTTATCGGTGATCCACACAGCACGCAAGCCGCACGCCTACAAGAGCATGGACATGACCAAGCTAAATGTCCACTGGCTGACCGCACATAAGGCGTGGATGTTCTCTACACCGTCCCTCTCCTGGTTTGATGACTGTTTCGTTCCCGATGTGAAGAAATTCTGTGAGCAACAGAATGTGCCATTCAAGATTTTGTTGCTGCTGGACAATGCACCAGGACACTCGCCCCTACTGTTAGATCGTCACCCCAACGTAAAAGTGGTCTTCCTTCCTCCCAACACTACGCCATTAATCAAGCCCATGGATCAAGAATTAATCTGCAATGTGAAAGCTGCATTCTCTGCAAAGAAGTTTAGGCTCCTGAACGACTATACCAACACCAAGTATGAGTTGCCGTAACCTGGGTGATGCCGATAGCAGGAGCGAAGAGGACGAGGAACAACAGTTGGCAGAGCAAGAAGTACTTGTGAAACACTTTTGGAGAAAATTCAACGTCAAGAAAGCTGTGGACTTCTTGGTGGAGGCATGGGATCAGCTGTCTGTAGCAACGGTTCGTCACGCATGGAGACATGTGTTGCAAGGTATCCCAGGTAGGAGGCAGAGTCAATCTGACTGGTGAAGTTCAGACTGTTGCAGTAGCAGTGGACCTTGCCAGAGAAGCT